TGATCGTAATTATGATCAATAAAAGGTATCTAATTATGTCTTTCACCAGGAGATATGCACCAGCGGTTACTAAACATCGAATTACTTATTAATTGATATGTTTTTGTAAGCAAGTAAATGTTTTATGTAAAATATTGCTAAAATGAATTGATGTATGCCGATATGCGCACACGTGTGTGTCATGTGTGATCAGATAATAACAAAATACACATTTCTTCTTGGTTTTAAATATCATTTTACATCAATGAAAAAAAAAATCATAGAAATATATTTCGATTTTTGGAGCATGAACATCGTTTTTTTTCTCCAGATTTTTTGGGTGCGAAAATATTCGAGTAGAAGCTTTTTTCCCCGATTTTCAGCCTCAAAAAGTACCTGCGCAAATTACACAGGTGCGCAAATTACAAGGGTTTTTACGGTACTAGCCAACATAATTTGACTACGTTTAAGATATGCCAGTTGGACAATGTGTTTTGACCTGGAGTCAAGAAATGCCAGTTAACCCTCTCACCACTGTAGACCATAATGGACTCATCCAGATTAATACACGGTAGAGTTCACTCGAGTTACATAAGGGAGAAAGGGTTAATAGGTAAATTGCTTCCAACTGTGCTTCGACAGCATCTAGGATATGTCAGCTGGTTGCTAAGCAAAGAGCTTTTATCCTTTTTACTTACGTCGTGAGGCTTTCATCTTCAGTTGATAAACCATATCTTTTTTCTTATATACAGTGGTTCTGGTGTCTAATTCTCTCCCCTACAACAGTAAATCGAGGCATTTAGATCTGACAAGAAATCAAATTACAAGTGCGAGAAAGACTGGTGTAAAAATCCTGATACCAAATTCAGATCTTTCTGAATCACAGAAAAAAAAGGTAAAATAGAGGTTATTGCCTGAAAAAAGTACACATCATATAGGAATTCTTAAACATATGAAATAGATATATGTAACAAACATCTGTTTTATATCCATCAGATGTAAAACCCACATGAAAACAAATGCCTCTGTACAATAGCATATATACAGTATACAATGTAACACAATTTTTGTGGACACATCAAAAACTACAGAAATAAAATGTGTCAGACATTGAGGAAGAATCTGAAGCAACAAGAGACTTCAGCTCCGAAGACGGCTGACAATTTTATATTCCACATTCACATTCATATGACAGTTACAAAACTACATATGTCAAGAATAAGTAGATGTACTTGATACAAATTAAGAGTTTTATTTTTGAACCAGGAATATATCTAAAGTCAGATCAACTGTATACAAATTGATTGAAAACCATACTAAAGAAAATTTTATGAATGGAGATAATCCAGACCTTAAAGAATAAGAAGCAACGAAAGACTTAGATTTGCAGACAATTTTACATTTTACCTGGGAAATCAAAGGAGAGAACTACATATACTACGATGCTCTCAGAGCTACATATTCCATTTCACACTTGACATCCCACAACAAAACATAAATGTGTAATACAATACCAAACATGTGTTACATTTAAAAGCATGTGTCAGACATTGAGGAAGAATCTGAAGCAACAAGAGACTTCAGCTCCGAAGACGGCTGACAACTTTATTTTCCACACTAACATTCATATGACAGCTACAAAACTACATATGTCAAGAATAAGTGGATGTAATTGATACGAAATTTTTAGTTTTAATATTGAACCAGGAATACATTTACAACTGGCTACAAATTTATTGAACACAATACTAAAGAAAATTTTATGCAGTGAAAATAATTCAGACCCTGAAAAGTATGAAGCAACGAGACTTGGATTTTCTGACAAATTTAAACTTCACCTCTAATCTCATAAGCTACAAAACTACATATACCCTGAAGGTCTTAGAGCTACATATTTTATTTCACACTGGACATCATACAATCAATCCTTATTGTGTAACACAATATCAAACATGTGTTATACTTAAAAGCATGTGTCAGACATTGAGGAAGAATCTGAAGCAACAAGAGACTTCAGCTCCGAAGACGGCTGACAATTTTATATTCCACATTCACATTCATATGACAGCTACAAAACTACATATGTCAAGAATAAGTGGGTGTAATTGATAACGAATCTTTGTTTTAATTTTGAACCAGGAATATATCTCCTATACAAGTCAACCGACTTCAAATTTACTAAACACCATACTTAATAACCTTTGTGCTGTGAAGTTAATCCAGACCTTAAAGAATATGAAGTAACCTTAAAGAATATGAAGTAACAAAATACTCGAGATTGGCAGACAAATTTAAACTTCATCTTTGATATCATTATAGTCTATAAAACTACATATACCCTGAAGGTCTCGGAGCTACATATTTTATTTCACACTGGACATCATACAATCAATCCTTATTATGAAACACAATACCAAAAGATGTGTCAGACATTGAGGAAGAATCTGAAGCAACAAGAGACTTCAGCTCCGAAGACGGCTGACAATTTCATATTCCACATTAACATTCATATGACAGCTACAAAACTACATATGTCAAGAATAAGTGGGTGTAATTGATACCAAATTCTTTGTTTTGATATTGAACCAGGAATACATTAACAACTGACTACAAATTTATTGAACACAATACTTGAGAAAATCTTATGCAGTGAAAACAAACCAGACCTTGAAACGTATAAAGCAACAAGACTTGGATTTTCTGACATTTTTAAACTTCACCTCTGATCTCATAGCATATAAAACTACATATAGCGTAAGGTCTTAGAGCTTCATATTTCTTTTCACACTTCACATCCTACAATCAATCCTTATCGTGTAACACAATATCAAACATTTGTTATACTTAAAAGCATGTGTCAGACATTGAGGAAGAATCTGAAGCAACAAGAGACTTCAGCTCCGAAGACGGCTGACAATTTTATATTCCACATTCACATTCATATGACAGCTACAAAACTACATATGTCAAGAATAAGTGGGTGTAATTGATACCAAATTCTTTGTTTTGATATTGAATCAGGAATACATT